ACTTTTGATGACTGCTTCTATTTCATTAGGGGTTATAGGTCTGTTTAGATTATTTATCTGTTCTTGATTTAGTTTTGGCAAGTGATATCTATCCAGGAAATTGTCCATTTCCTTTAAATTTTCAAATTTTGTGGAGTACAGATTTTCAAAGTATGCCCTGATGATTCTCTTGATTTCCTCAGAGTCCGTTGTTATGTCCCCTTTCTCATCCCTGATTTTGTTAATTAGCATGTTCTCTCTCTGTCTTTTGGTTAGTTTGGACAGAGGTTTGTCTATTTTGTTGATTTTCTCAAAGAACCAACTCTTTGTTTCATTGATTCTTCTCAATGTTTTCCTGGTTTCTACTTGATTGATTTCAGCCCTCAATTTGATTATTTCCTGGCGTCTGCTCCTCCTGGGGGAGTTTGCTTCTTTTTGTTCTAGAACATTCAGCTGTGCTATTAATTCTCTAGTATGACTGTTCTCCAGTTTTTTCATGTGGGCACTTAGTGCTATAAACTTTCCTCTCAGCACTGCTTTCAAAGTGTCCCATAAGTTTGTGTATGTTGTGTCTTCATTCTCATTGAAATCGAGGAAGTCTTTAATTTCTTTTTTTATTTGTTCCTTTACCCAGGGATGGTGCAATTGTGCATTGTTCAATCTCCATGAGTTTGTAGGGTTTCTGCGATTTGTGTTATTGTTGAATTCTAATGTTAATGCATGGTGGTCTGATAAGATGCAGGGGGTTATTCCAATTTTTTTGTATCTGTGGAGATTTGCTATGTTTCCTATTATGTGGTCAATTTTAGAGAAGGTTCCATGTGGTGCCGAGAAGAAGGTATATCCCTTTGTATTTGGGTGGAATGTTCTATAGATGTCTGTTAAACCCAGTTGGGTCATAACTTCTATTAATTCTTTTGTTTCTTTGTTAAGTTTCTGTCTGGAGGTCCTATCTAGCGGTGAGAGCGGAGTGTTGAAGTCTCCTACTATTAGTGTGTGAGATTTTATATGCATTTTGAGCTTTAGTAATGTTTCTTTCACGAATGTAGGTGCCTTTGTATTTGGGGCGTAGATATTTAAAATCGAGACTTCGTCTTGATGTATTTTTCCTTTGATGAATATGAAGTGCCCTTCTTCATCTCTTTTGATTGATTTTAATTTGAAGTCTAATTTGTTAGATATTAGGATTGCTACGCCCGCTTGTTTCTTGGGGCCGTTTGATTGGAAGATCTTTTCCCAGCCCTTTACTCTGAGATAACGTCTGTCTTTGGTGTTGAGATGTGTTTCTTGTATGCAGCAGAAGGAAGGGTTCTGTCTTCGTATCCATTCTGCTAGTCTGTGTCTTTTTATAGGTAAGTTGAGGCCATTGACATTGAGGGATATTAATGACCATTGATTGGTGATCCTTGTTTGCGCTTGATTTATTGTTAGTGAAGTTATTTTGTGTAGTTTCTCCTCCCTTTTTCTTTTAGTGTTTTGTAAAGTATGATTCTATATTGCCTGTGTCTTTGTGAATGTAGTTATCTTCCTTGGCTCTAGGTTTTCCTTCTAGCATTTTCTGTAGAGCTGGATTCATGGATACGTATTGTTTAAATCTGGCTTTGTCATGGAATATTTTGTTTTCTCCATCTATGGTAATTGAGAGCTTTGCTGGATATAGTAGTCTGGGCTGGCATCCTTGTTCCCTTAGCGTTTGTAGGACATCTGACCAGGATCTTCTGGCTTTCATCGTTTCCATTGAGAAGTCAGGTGTAATTCGGATAGGTCTGCCTTTGTATGTTACTTGGCCTTTTTCTTTAGCTGCTCTTAATATTTTCTCTTTGCTCTGTAGGTTTGATGTTTTGATTATTATATGGCGAGGTGACTTCTTCTTCTGGTCAAGCCTATTTGGTGTTCTGTAAGATTCTTGTACTTTCATAGGCATATCTTTCTTTAGGTTAGGGAAGTTTTCTTCTATGATTTTGTTGAATATGTTTTCTGTACCTTTAAGTTGAAGTTCTTCACCTTCTTCTATACCTATTATTCTCAGGTTTGGCTTCTTCACGGTGTCCCATATTTCCTGGATATTTTGTGTTAAGGATTTGTTGGTTTTGAGATTTTCTTTGGTTGACGATGCTATGTCCTCTAATGAGTCTTCAACACCTGAGATTCTCTCTTCTATCTCTTGTATTCTATTGGTGATGCTTGCATCTGTGATTCCAGACCGTTTACCGAGCTTTTCTATTTCCAGCATCCCTTCATTCTGTGTTTTCTTTATCGTTTCTATTTCAGCTTTCAATCCTTCAACTGTTTGAGCTGTTTCCTTAATTTTCTTGGTTGTTTTTTCTTGGTGCTCTTTAGATTCTTTGAGAGATTTGTTTATTTCTTGAATTTTTCCCCCATTTCATGGATTTTTTTGTTTGTTTTTTCTTCTATTTCTTTAAGGGATTTCCTCGTTTCTTCCTTGAGGCTCTCCATCATCTTCATGAAATAATTTTTAAGGTCTGTCTCCTCTTCTTCATCTATGTAGTGCTTTTCAGGTCTTGCTGGTGTTGGATCCCTGGATTCTGGTGGGGTCGTGTTGGTGTTTCTATTGCTGAGTGATCTCTTATTCTGTCTTCTTCCCATCTCTTCTTCCAGTGGGTGCTGGTGGGGGCTTTCTGTCTCCACTGGTCTCCTTCTTTACTGCAGCTGAAGCTGAAGCTGGCCTCGCTGGGGTTGGGGTCTTGGAGGGGCTGATCTCTTTCCTGTGTGGGTGGCTCTTCTGAAGCTGGGCTCGCTGGGTTGGGGTCTTGGAGGAGCTGATCTCTTTCCTGTGTGGGCGGCTCTTCTGGAAGCCGGGAGCGGCCCCGAAGATGGAGGGGGATGGGTGATGGGCGGGTGGTCCCAGCCAGAGACCCAATCTCACCTGAAGCTGGGCTCGCTGGGTTGGGGTCTTGGAGGAGCTGATCTCTTTCCTGTGTGGGCGGCTCTTCTGGAAGCCGGGAGCGGCCCCGAAGATGGAGGGGGATGGGTGATGGGCGGGTGGTCCCAGCCAGAGACCCAATCTCACCTGAAGCTGGGCTCGCTGGGTTGGGGTCTTGGAGGAGCTGATCTCTTTCCTGTGTGGGCGGCTCTTCTGGAAGCCGGGAGCGGCCCCGAAGATGGAGGGGGATGGGTGGTGGGCGGGTGGTCCCAGCCGGGGACCCAATCTCACCTGAAGCTGGGCTCACTGGGTTGGGGTCTTGGAGGAGCTGATCTCTTTCCTGTGTGGGCGGCTCTTCTGGAAGCCGGGAGCGGCCCCGAAGATGGAGGGGGATGGGTGGTGGGCGGGTGGTCCCAGCCAGAGACCCAATCTCACCTGAAGCTGGACTCGCTGGGTTGGGGTCTTGGGGAGCTGATCTCTTTCCTGTGTGGGCGGCTCTTCTGGAAGCCGGGAGCGGCCCCGAAGATGGAGGGGGATGGGTGATGGGCGGGTGGTCCCAGCCAGGGACCCAATCTCACCTGAAGCTGGGCTCGCTGGGTTGGGGTCTTGGAGGAGCTGATCTCTTTCCTGTGTGGGCGGCTCTTCTGGAAGCCGGGAGCGGCCCCGAAGATGGAGGGGGATGGGTGGTGGGCGGGTGGTCCCAGCCAGAGACCCAATCTCACCTGAAGCTGGGCTCGCTGGGTTGGGGTCTTGGAGGAGCTGATCTCTTTCCTGTGTGGGCGGCTCTTCTGGAAGCCGGGAGCGGCCCCGAAGATGGAGGGGGATGGGTGATGGGCGGGTGGTCCCAGCCGGGGACCCAATCTCACCTGAAGCTGGGCTCGCTGGGTTGGGGTCTTGGAGGAGCTGATCTTCAAGGGGCCATCATTAACATTACGCTGTAACACTCATTAGCAGCACACTGGTAGCATGACAAATAGAAACCACGAATGGACTTTTTCCCCCTCAGTCCTAATGTTGGGTTCTGGTCACATGATCCTAAAATTCATCACTCCCACCTGACCCAAAATACAAGTCTGTGGCTCTTCAGATGGTAATTCCATACGTGTATGCGTTCTTCCTCCTCTTAAAGCAGAAATTCCAAAGCGCAGGAGAAAAGAGCAACTATGTATGCTGTTCCAAAGGTTCTCTGGCTTCTTGGCAGAGGTCAAGGTTAAAGTGCCAGACACCTTCAGCTGCCCAGGTAGCACAGGACACAGCACGGTCATCAATGGAGCCCAGTGAAGCTGAGACAATAATTACTCCGAGTGACCGTGGCTGAGACAATTACCCCGAGTGACCGTGGCTGAGAGAATTACTCCGAGTGACCGTGGCTGAGACAATTACCCCGAGTGACCATGGCTGAGACAATTACCCCGAGAGACCGTGGCTGAGACAATTACCCCGAGTGACCGTGGCTGAGACAATTACCCTGAGTGACCGTGGCTGAGACAATTACCCCGAGAGACCGTGGCTGCCAAACTCATCTGAGGCCATGACAGCGGCTTTCCTGCTTGAAGACGCAATGGCCACCTGACAGTCGCTCCGTGACTCATCTCTCTCTGAGTCCATGGGAGGAAAAGCTGAAGGTTTTGCACTATTTATTCAAATAAAGTATCATTCACATTTGGAAGAGCGTTAGGTGGGATCAGCGCTTTGCTGTGGAGACGTGTAAATTGGAAATTCCTCGCTGCCACGTGCTATTTGGTAAGGTGATCTAAACTTAAGATGCCTCAGAGCCACAAAATCTCCCAAATGTCAAACTGTGTAAGCATTAACCAACAAATGTCTGTAAGACTCCCATGGAAACATACACCAAAAGTTTGACAGAAACAGGAAAATCCAGGTAAACTGGAAAAAAAATCAAACTCAAAGAATGGAACATTTGAGAAAATCCTACCTACTATGGTTTGGGATTATTTTGAATACATAAGTCTGAAGAAAGGTTTGAATATAATTTGGATAATTGATTTTTCTCCTCAAGATGTAACTCAACCATGAAAATCCTCAATTTTCAATGCAATCACGGAAATGGAAGGTATTAGTAATTCACAAGGCTAGTCACATTTGCACACTTATGAAACAGAGACACACGACTTACAGATGACAGGGCATGCTTCAGACCGACGACCTGAGCAGAGGGGGTGGAGGAGATGTCCAGCTCCATCAACTGTTTCATCTTCTCTCTCTCGGCCGATATGCTATTAAAGGCGGACCTTAAAGCGAAGTAAACTATAAAGATATAATCATTACAAGAAGGAACCGGGAAGAGGCACAATTAAAAACAAAACGCAGAAAAGTGGACTTCTTATATTTTTGGTTATGAGCCTAGCCTTCAATGGCGGAGCCGTCTCTCCAGCCCGAAAAGTGTACTTCTTACACAAGATTTTAGGAAAGTATTCCGAGTTCAGTAAATACACCTTCTACATGGATTTTTAAAAACACACTGAATGTGTGGGAGCGAACCCTAATGGAAACTACAGGCTCCAGTGACAACGTGTAGCAACACAGGTCCTTCAGCGCTACCTTTCCTAACCCTGTGTGGGATGCTAAGAGCGGAGAGGCCTACGTAGGTGGCAAGGGACACACAGGGAGATTGTGTGGTTCAGTTCTGCTGTGGACTTAAAACTCCTTGGGAAAATATAATCTATTAGCATTTGCATACACTTGTCAATCCTAAGGCTTGTGCCTGCTAAGGCATTCCATGATTTTATGATTTAGAGGTTTAAAACCACCAGTATTCAGTTGCAATTTAAGAACGAGGCTTGTTGGCTATAAGTGTATTCTATCACTACATCAGAAAAATGAGATCATAACTCAACCAGGTGGTAAAAATCAGCTGGCAGTGAGAGCCAGGTAAACACTGGGTACCTCGGAAAAGTCACACTCTAGGCCGCTCAGGGATAAGCAAACTAGAACTGATCATGAGGGAACCGCAGACAACTGAATATCCTGTTTTTTAAAACTGTCTTGTACTCTTCAAAGGCATCTAGGTACCAACTTTATAAAAAACAGACCCCAATTAAACTGTGCTGAAAAAAACAAGACAGTGAAACACAGCCTGCTCACGGGCAGATCCTGTACCCAAAGGGAGAACAACACTAAAAGACATTTTTTCAGAGTTGACATCGTGAATGGGAGACCAAAGTGTCATCCCCCAGTGATATGACCTGAGTTAGAGAACTACATTGTGCCAAGTATATAAAGTGTAAAGCCTCGAAGAATGCATAATGATACAGGAATCCTATTCTCGAAAATCTCAGAAAATAAAAGCATGTGTGTACAAAGACTGTGGAGAAATAACTGTAGTAAACTGAAAGAAAAAAAAAAAAGAACCCACGCAGAGGGTTTCTGGGAGTCCTTTGTTCCCCTCTCGCAGCTTTTCTGTAAGGTTGAAATGATTTCAAATGAGGTGTTGCCCGTTTCTTCCTAGTTTCTTCTGGCTGCGCTAGAATCCCCCCACCTCTGGTTTTGGCATTCGGCCACTCTGCTCACTTTGGGGAGCTTTCAGGTTCAGTGAGAACCTAGAACCAGCAATCACTTAAATGCCCAAACTGAAGCTTTCAAAATGAGCTGGGAGCTGTGGGGATGGCTCAGTGGGCTAAGCGTTGGCTCAGTGGGCTAAGCGTTTGCCATGCAAGCATGAGGACCTGAGTTCGAGTCCCCAGAACTCATGGAAATCTAGGTGCAGCACTGTGCTCTGCAATCCCCATGCTCCAACAGTGAGATGGGAGTGGGAATAGGAGTATCCCTGGAAGTTCTGGTAGGCTGGCCTGCAGCAGGACTCAACAAAGAACCGTCTCAACAGGACGAGTGAGGACTGACACCAAAGGCTGTCCTCTCCCCCTCCCCCAAGTGGGAGCTCTGGCATGCACACAAACTCATACACACAAGCATGCACACTTATACAGCCATGTACACACACACACACACACACACACACACACAGAGAGAGAGGGGGGGGGACTTAAAAAAGACAGGAACAGGTATGACAAATATCTATTAGGTTCTGATCACATAGGGTAAAGAAACTTCCTAAAGATAAGGGAATAGCTACCTTAAGTGTAGATCATAGAGACCACACTAGATATTATCTTTCCATTCTTTTCCATTATAGTTTGTCACAGAAGGACAAGAAGGAAGGGACTGAGACAGGCTTCTCCAGTGACCTGGTATTTTATTAAATTTCACAGGCTTGCATTTTCAGAGGTATTGTCATCTAAGAACGGCCTATTCAATAACAGAAACTAAATACCTACTATCGACTTGTTCCCTTCATTTACCAGCGAGAAGGAAGACTGTCCATTGTCTCCACGCTGTTGCTGGATGTCTGGGGCACTTAGTGATAGATCCAGAGAATCCTCACAATATCTCAACGCAAACATGCAATTTGTACACCCTCTCTCTCTCTCTCTCTCTCTCTCTCTCTCTCTCTCTCTCTCTCTCTCTCTCTCTCTCGTCTCTCTCTCTCTCTCTCTCTCTCACACACACACACACACACACAGACACACACGGACTTACAATCTATGGTGCTGCTTCTAAGATCAGAAGGGAGGGGCCCATTACTTATTCATCCTATGACCTTGGAAAAGTATCTGATGTGCCTGAAGCCTAAACGGAGATACTGCTAGCATTTACTTTACAGCCTGTAATAAGGATTAAGTAAGACAATGCATGCAAAGTCCTTAACCTAATGCACAAATGCAATACATAATGGATGTAACCAAAAGGATAATGGCCATGATGATGAAAGAGATAGATGGGAGTGAAAGTGATGCCTGGACTCTCTTGGAATCTGGGCAGCAGGAGTAGTGTGATACTTAGCTCTATCAGAATGATGATTATTAATAAATGCATATACAGCAGAGAGTATATGAATGAGGACTGGCCAGAGCTCGCTGAGCCAAGGAGTAGCAGCCTTGGGAGGACAACGACAGGGTACGACAGGGTACCTCACTGCATTTTATGCCTGGTTAGACATCTCCCCTCAGTGCCCCAGGACATCCGCAGCTGTCCTAGTGGGTCTCTGGGGGTTCTTCCTTTCCACAGACACATTTATTCCTCCATGCACCTGGCTGGCTCTGCTTTCCCAGGTCAACTCTCCTGCCTTTCAGATGCCCTGCTGCCAGGAGAGACTTTCCACCAGACTAGACAGTTTCTGTTTATGCTTTATAAAGGACAGAATGGGTATTATCTGTTTCACAGTGTGAAGCTAGGAAGGCTAACAATAGAGCTCACCAACTGAGTACTTGGCCAGCAAGAGCATAGCTTTAGGTTCAGTCGCCAGCTCCCTTATCTTCAGGGAAAAGAATATATATCTAAGACTACAGTGGGCATAATTAAACAAAAAGAAATCCATACTGTCATATTTAATTGTCAGATTAAAAAAAAACACTTCCTCAATCACCTGAAAAAGGGATAAGAAAATCAGATCCCCTAAATGCATATGTGATAACTAAATGTGTGTGTGTGTGTGTGTGTGTGTGTGTGTGTGTGTGTGTGTGTGTGTGTGTGTGTGTGTTTCTGAAACAGATTCTCAGGTTCTCACCACATAGCCCAAGCTGGCCTCAAATGTGTCTTCCTCTAGCCTCAGGTTCTCAAATGTAGGGATTACCAGTGTGTCCTACCACACTTGGTTTAATTTCTTAAATGGCTCTAGACCCAGCCAGGAGATATTAAAGTGGTCACTCTTGGCCAACTTATAATTCATCCTTCCCAGAGCAGTGACGAGATGCCAGAAGACGGCAATCACATTGCTCAAGGCCGTGCTGGCTAGTCTACATCAACTTCACACAAACTAGAGCTATTCGGAAGTAGGGAGCCTCAGCTGAGGAAATGCCTCTGGCTGTAAGGCATTTTCCTAGTTAGTTATTGATGGGAGAGGGCCCAGCTCATTGTGGTGGGGCCACCCCAGGGCTGATGGTCCTGGATTCTATAAGAAAGCAGGCTGAGCAAGCCATGGGGAGCAAGCCAGTAAGCAGCACCTTCCATGGCCTCTGCATCAGCTCCTGCCTCCAGGATCCTGTCCTGTCTGAGTTCCTGTCCTGACTCCCTTCAGTGATGAACAGTGCTGTGGAAGTGTAAGCTGAATAAACCTTTTTCTCCCAAACTCCCTTTTTGGTCATGATGATTCCCTGAAGCAATAGAAACTGTGACTAAGACAGTGACCTTGGTTCACAAAGTTTAGAGGCATTTCCTGTGCCAGGAGTGCCTTCATTTCTAAAGTCATCCTAAATTTACTAGAGACTGTAACGCTTAAAAAAAAAGATTTCTAAGTGAGCGTATTATACTTGTGGATACATTATCATAAAAACGAAATTGAGATGCACAGAGCTACAGAGAACCTCAAAAATCATCCAAGCCACCCACCCCGGAGCATGGCCCCACCCTCTCTGACTCAAACCCTTGCCAAGTGGCCTTTAGCCCATGCTACTCAAGCCCCGTCTGCAGTCACAGTGCTCTGAGACCTGCTGTGGGCTATGTATGCAATGACTGCCTCAGTCTCCTGACATTGTCCTGCACGGCTGCCTGCCTTCATGGGGAAGTCAAGTATCAGAAGGTAGCCACAGAATCTGCTTAGAAGTCTCTTCCCTGCCCTGTCCTCCGCCCTGCTGGACTAGGACAGTGGGATACAGGTTGGCCTGGCCTGAAGCCAACTGTCCTCCTGCCTCATCCTCCCAAGCCCTGGGATTACAGGTAGCTGTAATACCTGACCCCGAGAAGCTTTTGACTGTGAGAACCCTTCAGCCCCAGCTGCAGAACAGACACCGTGGGTTTTGCTCAGTTGACTCTGGGCCCTCCCTTTCCCCTGGCTTCAGGCTCCCATTGCTACACCAGGTTGGAGAGGCTCTGAGCGCTTTGGACTGGGAAGCCACACATGGATCACGGGCTGGAGCTCTCCTCTGCCCACACTCCCTCCTTAGCAGCCCCTTCACTTCAGGAGAGACCACAGTTATCAACAGCACCGGCACCGTGCGGTACCGAGGGAAGAACGTGTGTAGTAAGGCAAATGTGAATTCAGCTCGGTCCCTGATGCTTAGCTATGGTTTAGACTTTGGAGGAATCATCTGTTTCCAAACCTATCAGCTTGGTCCCTGATGCTTAGCTATGGTTTAGACTTTGGAGAAATCATCTGTTTCCAAACCTATATGGACTGAATATGTAGGAAATGCTGGCATCTATGGTGCTTTAAGGAAACAATGAGAAAGCACTTGAGAATACAGGACCCAACA